ATATGTTTGTTCAGATTTTTTTAACCTTTTACCTGCTTGCTCTTCTATCTTAGCAGTATTGAGAGATTTGTCTTCCAGCTTGCTGGTTCTGGCTTCCATCTCTTTATTTCTGCTCCTTCTCCCTTTCAATGTATTGTCCATTTCTAATATTTTATTATTAATCATCTGGACCTCTTTTTGCAGGTTTTGAATTGTTTCCAATGCTGCATCGATCTTGTTTGATTGCTCTTGTAGTACTTTCCTGACTTCTTCCTTGTTTTCCTCCACCCATTTTCGGAGCATTTGAATTTATTTCCATATCATTCTTCTGAATCCCTTTTCAGGCAGATCCAAAACCTGCTCTTCCTCTTCTGGAGAGCCTTTGTCTGTCTCCAGCGCATTTGTCTCAGTTACTCTTTACTGGTTTTGGACATGTTTTGAGATCTTTTGTTGTGTGTGTGTGGTTTTTTTTTTGTGTGTGTGTGTGGGGGGGTCATTTTCAGTAGTTTTGTGGGTTTTTAATGCTTAAATGGATGTTTGTTGCTGTGTTGTTAAGCTTACTGGGTGTCTCCTGGTGGATATGATCAGGAGATAGGCTTCCCTTTTCACATGTATGCTTAGCAGCTGTTATTGGCTCTTGTCTCAATGGTAGAATATTATGGAGTATGCTTGTAGCTTGGCTGTATGGCCACAATTACTGTCTCTTCCTGGGTAACATAGGGAGAAAAAGCTCCCACCTCCTTGAAAAATGAATGATCAAAAGGACCCAAAGCAGAAGCAATATAAAAGCAAAGACAAAAACCACCACTTTGAAACAAAAATAAAACTGTGGCCGACTGTCCAGTTGCCTTGCTACACAGGCAGTGCATGTGCACTGTTGACGCCTCCAGTAGTGGGTGGGGGTGTCCGCTTGCTCAGGCCTCTCCTCTAGTCACCACCATAGAGGTGTGTAGATAGGTATTGAGAAGTTAATGGGAAAATGATTGTCTCCTGTTTTTGTCTCTGAAGGTCAGTTAGGTATCTGCGTGTACACAGCGAAATTCTCAAGATAGTTGCGTCCTTTTACATTAGGGTTTTATAGATTGTTCATATGGTTTGTCTGTCAGGCCTGACAGGCCTGCTTTTTTCTTGCTGGATATGCTGGAGTAAAGAGTCCTCCACAAGTTAATTTTAGGGCTGTGTGCAATTAGTATTTTGTAGTTTTCTTTGTATAAGTTTTTTGTTTCTCTGACTAGATTATAAGTATTGCATCTTTTGGGTGACTATCGTAAATAGTATTGTTTTCCTGATTTCCTTTTGTAAGCTCTCTTTATTAATGTAAAGGAATCCAACTCTTTTTTGTTTGTTGCTCTGTAACCAGCCACTTTGCTGAATCTTTCAATGAGTTCCAACAGTTTTCTTACTGAGTCTTTGGGATTTTCTATGATTAGGATCATATCATCAGAAAATAGAGTTTTATGTCTTCTTAGCCAATTTGGGTGCCTTTAATTTTACTTTCTTGCCTTATAGCTCTGGCTAAGACTTCCAATACAGTACTGAACAGGAATAGTGACAAAGGGCATCCTTGTCTGGTTCCTGTTTGCAAAGGGAAGGCTTTCAGTTTCTCTTCATTGAGAGTAATGTTTGCTTTTGGATTTGTATATATGCTCTTAATTATGTTGAGGAATTTCCCTTTTATTATTATCATGGCGAGTTTTTTTTTTTTTTTTTTTTAATCAGGAATGGATATTAGATTTTGTCAAATGTCTTTTATACATCAATTGATATGATCACATGCTTCTTTCCTTTCATCCAAAAAGAAGTCATAACTTTATTAATGATAGAAACAGTACAAATTTCAAATCAAACTGCAGTTACTCTTCTGAAATACCAAAAACAAATTCCTTGTTTTCAGATGGTTACATTAATTTCATAATGGCATTTATAAGATCTTTACTGTTGTTCCTCAAAGCTCAGACTGCCTTTGCTCTTGATTCATTTGCTTGTGACATGACCAATTAAATGCCCTTAACTTCCACACCTGTTTCATCAATGTCTTCCTCTTCAATTTCCTCTTGTACACAAAGGAGCTCTGGTAGCGTAGTGGTTACGAATCAGGCTGTGAACCGCAAGGTCAGCAGTTCGAAACTACCAGCTGTTCCGTGGGAGAAAGAGAAGGCTTTCTGCTCCCGTAAAGATTTACGGCCTTGGAAACCCTGTACAGGGTCGCTATGAGTTGGAACCGACTCCACGGCACATAACAACAACAACACACTTGGGAGTTTGTGTGTTTTCCTTAGTGATCAGGACAACTTCACTCTGAATTTTGAATTTTTCAACAGCTCCTAGCTGTGCTTACTGAGAAAAATCCTCGATCTTGGCTTCTCCAAAAACTATATAGATATCTGAAGACGTACTCTTGTAGACATCTGACTTTTTGATGACAAAGTAGATATTCTTCAGTTTCCCAATATTGACTCTAGTAACCCCTGTGACGTGTTGAAGACCCAATTTGGACTTTGCCTTCCATGCCTTCTTTTCACTTTGACTCTGTTTTGCTTTACTGATTGGTCTTTCATCAGTTTCAGTTGCTGCTGCCAGCTGGGCTTGTTGTGTGGTTGCCTGTGTAGAATTCTGTTCCTTGAGCTCTGGTACTGCATCACTGTCAGATTCTGTTCCAGTCTCTGTCTCAGCCTGGGGCTGTGGCAAATCCTGCTCTGTAGCCGCAGTGGTTTCTGTGGCTTCACCAGGCATTTTGTACAGAGAATACAGAACCAAGATGGTGGCAGAAAGAGCCTTTTCCTTTCTTTTATTTATGTGGTGATTATACTGATTGTTTCTCTAATATTGTACCATGATATGAATCCCACTGATATGAATCCCACTGGTCATGATGTGTTATTTTTTTCGTATGTTGTTGCATTCTTTGTAGGTAGGATTGCCTTGAGGATTTTTGCATCTATGTTCATTTGAGATATTGGTCTGTAATTCTCTTTTTTAATGTTGATTTTGCCTGGTTTTGGTATGAGGGTTATGCTGGCTTCATAAAGTGTATTGGGGAGTTTTTCATCCTTTTCTATGATCTGGAACAGTTTTAATAGAATTGGTGTCAGCTCTTGTCTGAGTGTTGTATAGAATTCACTGGTAAAGCCATCTGGGCCTGAACTGCTTTTTGTTGAGAGTTTTTTAATGACCTGATCAATTTCCTCTGTTGTTGCAAGTATGCTCAAGTTTTCAATTTCTTTCTATGTTAGTTTAGGTAGGTCGTATTTTTCTAAAAAATTGTCCATTTCTTCTAGATTTTCAAATTTGTTGCAGTACAGTTCTTTGCTGTATTCTATTACTATCCTTTTTATTTCCATTGATTCTGTTGTAACATCACCCATATTGTTTCTTATGCATGTTATTTGCATCTTCTTTTATTTTGTTAGATTTACTAATGGTTTCTCAATTTTATTAATCCTTTCAAAGAACCAACTTCTTGTGTATTCTTTCTATTGTTTTTCTATTTCATTTATTTCTGTTATAATCTTTATTATTTATTTACTCCTGTTTGCTGTAGACTTACTTTGTTGCTCTTTTTCTAATGGTTGAAGATGTTGAATTAATGTGTTGATTTTGGTTCCTTGCTCATTTTGGATATGTGCACTTATTGATATAATTTGCCCTCTAAGCACTGCTTTGCTGTGTTCCAGAGGTTTTGGTATGTTGTGCCTTCATTCTTTTTGATTCAAGGAATTTTTAAATTTATTTTTAATTTGCTCTATTACCCAGTAGCTTTTAAGCAGTGTGTTATTCAATTAACATTTCTTTTTTTCTCTTGATCTATAATTGCTTTATAATTTAATAGCATTGTGATCTGTAAAGGTGTTTTGTAGTATTTTGATGTTTTATAATTTATTGAGGTTTTCTTTGTGACCTAGCATATGGTCTATTCTAGATAATGTTCCATGTGCACTGAAAAAGAATGTATATTGAGTTGTTGTTGAGTGCTCTGCATGTGTCTGTGAGGTCTAGTTGATTCATTGCATTTAGTTCTTCTGTGTCTTTGTTGAATTTTTGTCTAGTTTTGCCCCTCACTGAAGTGGTTTATTAAAATCACTTACTATTATTGCAGAGTTGTCTGTTTCTTTCTTCATTTCTACTAGAGTTTGATTTATGTATTTTGAAACTCTCTCATTGGAAGCATAGATATTTATTATGGTTATGTCCTCTTGTTCAGCTGATCCTTTAATAATGAGATAATGATATTGTTTGTCTCTTATGCTGATCTTTGCCTTAAAGTCTATTTGATCAGAAATTAATATTGATATTCCTACTCATTTTTCATTGTCATTAGCTTGCTATATCTTTTTCAATCTTTTCCTTTTTAATCTATTTTTGTCTTTGTGTGTAAGATGTGTCTAATAGACAGCATATTGAAGGATTCTGTTTTCTTATTCATTTTGTCACTGTCTCTTGACTTATGTTTTTAATCATTGACATTCAGTATAATTATTGGTAGTTCTGAATTGATTGCTGTCATTTTGCTATGTGTTTTTTAGTGTTGATGCTGATTTCTTTGTTCTGCACAATTTCCTATGTTGTATTGGTTTTGGTTGTGCATTTTGTCAATTTCTTCATTGCTGTTGTTTTAATGTTTACTAAATATTTATGGTTTTCCTTTTTCTTGATTTGATATGAAGGTGTATTTGTTGCAGACCGTGTAAGACTAGTCAGAGGTTCGAGGCCCTCTACGGCCGAGTGTAACAAATGAGGCTACTGGCAGTTAATGGCAAATTGCTTTCATATTAATATTCAGGTATATATATTAAATTAATACACTGGAGCCTTTGACAATCCACAGATAAATGTGATATTTTCCTAAAGCCGAGACTAAAGGTTGCAAGGTTAAACCTTTCTCCAAAGGATTAACTAAAAATATCTTAGCTACTTCTCGGTTCTTTGTTCTATAGACAAAGAACCCATCCTCCCTAATCCCTTTTCCAGGTGCAGCCCATTCACCTGGGCGTCTCCTGCAGAACTCTCACCTTCCCCTAACTGACCTCAGGGGCTATAGATATGTTAATTGGGCTTGAGAATCCAAGTTGCTGGCCTGGGATTCGAACCAGTGAAGTACAATGTAAAGTTACCTGAATGTCTGGAAAATTACTGATGTTAGCTGTATCCTGTTTTAGTCCCTCCCAGCTTGGTGTGAAACTCCTCCCCTAAATAAAACAGAGGCCCGAGCCTCCCCAGGTGTGCATTACTAGTTGAAAGGCTTGGAGTAAAGATTGCAGTGCATTGCTGGTTGGGAGGCATAGAGTAAAGATAGCAGTGCATTACGGGTTGGAAGGCATGCAGTAAAGATTGCAGGGCAGTGAGTTGCTGCCTGCAGAGGCCACGATGCCTGTACTCCCAAGCCTGCCCACAAGTGATGTATCCACCCTGGCTTTGGGGTGCCTCATTGTCTCCCTTCTTCTGTTTGTCTGTGTATTCTTTCGCTATCCCTATCGCCGCTGGATCTCCCCTCCTCGTGAACCAAACACGCGTGACAACTATGTCGAGGGAAAACTCCAGCAGTGTATTAATTTCTTTGAGATTTCCCTGTAGTTTATTAATTTCTTCTCTCTCTTAAAATAGCCTTGACTTCAGTAATCTTGAAATCTACTTGACTTCATTGCTATTTGGAAGTTTTGTAACTACACTTTTCCCTCTATTTGTTTTGTAGTTGTCTTTATTGTAAATTAATATCTGTGATTCCCTATTTTCAGTGTTGTAGGTTTGCTTTACTTTGGATACTTCTATACCTATATTGAATTCTGGGTAATGTTACTATGTATATCAATCTCAGGTTGTTGTTTGCTGTTGTTGGTTCTCAGTCTAGAGGACGCCCTTTAGTATTTTTGTAAGGTTGATTTGATTATTAAAATTCACTTCATTTCTGTTTGTCTGGAAATGTTCTAACTTTACCACAATATTTGAGGAAGAGTTTTGTTGAGTATGTGATTATTGGTTGGTATTATTTTTTTCTTACAGAGTTTTGTATATGTCTTCCTAAGCCTTCTTGCCTGCATGGTTTCAGCTGACGAATCATAACTTAATCTTATTGGTTCTCCTTTGTATGTAATTTCTCGTTTTTCCCAAGATGTTCTTAGTATTCTCTCCTTGTTTTTGATTTTGAAGAGTTTGATTATGATATGTCTTGGTGATTTACTTCTAGGGTCTGTTGAGCTCTTGAATGCTTATCTTCTCATCTTTCATTATGTTAGGAAATTTTTCTTTCAACAACTCCTTTATTATCTTTTCTGTGCTTTTATTTGTCTCTTACTCTTTTGGAGTTCTGATTACCCATAAGTTATTCTTTTTCATGGTGTCCCACATGAACCTTAGACTTTCTTTGGGTTTTTCGTTCTTTTTTCTTATTATTATTGTAGCTTACTAGTATTGAGAGATTTATCTTTAAGCTTACTGACTAGGACATTCATTGATTTAAATCTAATCTTTGCTCTTTCAATGTATTGTCCATTTCTGGAAGCTTAGTATTAGTCTTCTGGATTTATACATACAGAGTTTGTATTGTTTCCAGTCCTTCATCTGTTTTGTTTGTTTATTACCGTAGTGTTTCCCTCAATTCTTCCATGTCTTCCTCAACCTTTCTTTCAATCATTTGGAGGTACCTGAATATCCTCTTGAATTCTTTTTCAGGTAGTTCTAATACCTTTTGTTCCTCCAGTAGAATTTCTAGTTCTGCCTCTTGGTCATTTGTTTGAGCCACTCTCTCTTGTTTCTCTGTGTGAACAGAAATTGTATGTTACTTCCAAAACACTGTGGTGGTGTTGTATTTGTATTTATTTGTTGTTTGTTGGTGTGTTCTTAGGCACTCACCAACTGCCTTCTGGTGGGTGTGTTTAAGGAATGAATGTGTGTACCATTCTCTGTTTGTGCATCTCAGTTTTGGATGTGTTTGGCTGATGTTGGTTATTGTTGTTGATAGGTATATAGCAGCTGGTATTGTCTCTTACTCTGTGGCCAGTTGGCATAGATCATGTCTCATTTTTTTCTTTTGCTTCCGCATCTGTTCAGCTGCTTTTCCTAGTTAGGCCCAGTCCAGGACTGACTAGTGTTGGCTCTGCAAGTTTGGTACAGGGATCATGCCATGTCTGACAAATGGCTATACTCCATAACCCACACGGAGAGATTAAACACAAGTAGGGGCAATGGGAGATTAGAAAAAAGGAAAGACACAAAACACAAAATGAAAATAGTAACGTTGGACCAGGTGAGACACAACACTCTGATGGAGATACTGTGACACAGACCTAGATTTAGTTCATTTGTTATATACCCAGGAGGTGCTGGGGACAGGAAAAAGAATAACATCTGGTGTTATTGATGCATGCATTAAGTGGGACTTTATCAGAAGAATGTAGTTGTGGTTGCTAAGGAGACAGAGATAGAGCAAGATGTTTTTGTAGACTTGAACTGAAGGTGCAAGTTCCGAACTGCAGATGTGATGAATTGAGGTGGGACAGACTCTTGCACGAAGAGGTGGAAGCCTGAGCTTAGCACTGAGCAAGCAGAAAGAAATCGAAACCATAATGTTCCCATTACCTTGGATATGTTAATGGAGACTGGAGATTATGCAGTAATGGCCCAACAGCTATGTTTTACTGTTGAGACATATCAGCAGATCAATATAGCTGCACTAATGGCTTGGAAGGAACTATCCATAAAGGGAGAAAGATCTTTGGACATATCTAGCATCAGACGAG